GCCGTGGCTGCTCAGCATAGGTCCGCCGGCGGCAAGGTAGATGCTATCTTTGAAGTCGCCTAGGTCCCATCTCCACGATCCATTGTGCTCGACCTGCCACATCCATGTGTCCTCATTGTTTTTGTGTTTGAGAGCGCCCATGGGAAGATGACCACCCGTGGAAAAGGATCCGCGGGAGCTCAGCTCGAAGTGGGCAAGCGAAGCCAGGAGGCCGTCTCCCAGCTTCAGGATGCCGTTATTGTCGAGACCGACGCTTGGGAGGGAGCGCCCTTCCCATTGCCCCTCGCGGAACCAGGTGCTGTTGGCGTAGAAGAGCAAGTAGTCTTCAAACCATCGGTAAGAAGTGCACGTCATGTTACCCACCGTCAGAGTGGATATGTTGGTGAGGACGATGTCTGCATTGCTGGTAGACTGGTTTGTAACGGTGGTTTGGGCGCGCACCACGGGAATGCTGCCGTAGATGGTGAACCTAGCTTCCACATGAATGTTTGTGGCATCGTCGCTACACTCGATAGCCAGCGTCTCTTGAGAGCCATCGTCACTTTTAATGATTCTGTGGCTCTGGTACCGCAGTCGGTCAGAAAGGGTGGTGCCAACGAGCGTCTTGGCCGTTTTGATGTCACCACTGCCTTCGCCGCTCACACGGATGCTGACGAGCGGAAGCTCAGACGATTCGAAATTGGGCGAAGAATGTGGAGATGGCTCCACAGTGGTTGGCAAGATACGATCAACGCAGATGACGTCGTCCTTGTTGATCGAAAAGTCAATTTTCAGGGCATCAGTATGCCATTGAATTGTCCTTGTCTGCTTTTTACCCATCTTCGGCCTTTGGATACAAGTCTTAGTAGAGTTGGTCTGCGGTGTGGTGTGGTGTCGCGCTGTGCCATGAAAGAACAAGGCAATATCAACACAACAGATGAGAGCGGCTTTGGGATCGAGAAGTGACTACGACGCATTTTACATTTAGCAAGCCTTTCTTGATGATCCCTTATGGAGCTCGGATGATGAACTGTGGCAAGTAATGCTTGCTTGATGAGATATCACGAGCTCCTGAATCTGTGCATTGTAACAAGCATCACGCTAAAGGCTCGTATCGTCAACGAATTGCATTGAGCGGCCGATCGAGCGTCGCGGAGACGGCGCCGCGATTAGCCCCACCTCCACCCCCACACCCGGACCCGAAAGTCGATCGCGGCTCCGGGGCTGTGAGTAAGGAACAGCACAGTACTGTTGGCATCGTTCTGCAGCTTGCCGCATCGATCGATCTTAACAACGCAACTTGTCCGGATGCAGTCCAGGGTGATAGCCACGAACTATCCTTCTTCACATTAAGCCAGTACCGAAGGCGACCATTACCTCGTGTGCGTACGGGGGCTGAAGGTAGGTGGGGGTGGGGGTTCACTCAGTGGATGCATGACCGTCACCATTCTCGTCTTCCACCCACAATCTGGCAATGACTCTCATGTTTATTCCAGACCTGGTCTATCCAAAGGTCTCCCCAGTAGTCATGCTTCATTGGCACAGTCTCCTTCCAAAACTTGCAGGCCGATGCTGTGTTCTTGTAAATGAAAGCGTAATGAGAATCATTGAGTGAAAACATATCTCCTTCATCGGTCAATACTATGAACTTGTATATCAATGGGTAACTATTCACGATGATCATTTGCTTTAACTCCCTGTTAGTCCATGTAGGTTGCATAGTTCCCCAATTCCAGAACCTGTCGCAGGAACCATAGCCAGCTTCTGGCCCATCACGATAGTTTATTGAAAAGATTTCATTGTGCAGTGGCTTTGCCTCATTGAGTTGAAAATCTCTATTATTGACGGACTACTAACTTCTATCACCACCATTCTACCTCACCTTGAGCCTTGGCGTCCAGACTCTCATGGCGCCGTTGCCTCCACGATTGGCGCGTAGGAAATAGGGAATAGCTGTCAACTGCAGTGGCTCGACATCATATTCCCATGCCTTAGGACCGTAAAGCCGACTCGGCTCGCCCGTGACAACGCCCACATCGGCCAGCTTCCGGCCTGTGACCTGGACGGGAACGACGTTATGAGTAGTCGCAACAGACACAGGGGGTCCCTCCTGGGGTGCTCGCTCATCTTCCAGGGCGATGTAGTCAATGTCTACGGCTTCGTTGTCTACATCCTCCAGGCAGTACACAAACGGGCCCCGACGGAGGCAGACCGCGTCTTTGCCCGTCTTGGGGTGCGCATACAGCCGGTGAGCCGGCGTTGGAAGTGAGAGGCGTAGTTCAGTGTCTGCGAGGACGTTGGTGATGTGTAGATACCCCTGATTGAGCTCGCCTTGCTCAGAGCATGTGTACCCTTGGTCCTGCACCCAGTCAGGAATCCGCAATGCGAGCCTGGCGGCACCATCAATGCGGATAGTGACCTCGCCGGACCAGGGCATCTCGGTTATGACGGATAGCTTGACCCCTTTGCCTGCCAGCGTCAGTTCTACCTCACTCTGGACGTACATGTGGACGGCCACAAGGCCCTCAGCATCATCGGTTGAGTAGAGGAGTGAACCCAGCGATCCGACTAGCTTAGCTACGTTGGGTGGGCAGCAGGCGACGCCAAACCAGCGCTCACGATCCTTGGACTGTCCGGTCTTGGTTCGTAGGACGTTCTGGTAGTAGAAGGCCTCTCCGTCAGAGCTGATGGCGCCGAGAAAGCCGTTGTACAAGCAGGTCTCCATGACATCCGCGTACTCTGATTTGAGCTCCATCTGGAGCATTCGCTGACACCACATAATGAGAGCGAAAGCTGCGCAAGTCTCGCCGTAGCATCCCTCCATCTCTAGGTCGTTGAGGATGAAGGCTTCACCGAAGCCCTCGTTCTGGCGGTACGAGCCAATCGCACCCGTAACGTACATCTTGCAGTCCACCATGTTCCTCCACAGCCGCTGAAGCGCCTGCTTGCACTCGGCCACTTCAGGATCCGACGCGGCCTCGAGGCGGATAAGGTCCGTGACGGCCGTGTAGTAGTATATAGCGCGCACGGCATGTCCCTTGATCTCGGTCTGCTCGCGTATGGGTAGGTCAGCCTGGTTGTAGGCATAATCTCTAGGGCCATGGAACCAGCCTTTGACCTCACTGCCCAGACCGTCGTACGGATCGGCACCGCGTGCAAAGGCTTCGTGGTCAAAATATGTCTCGCCCTTATCGTCTTGTGTGCCTCGCTCCATGATGAAGTACTTGGCGAGTTTCAGGGCCAAGGGGTCACCCGTCATATCGTAAAGGCGCAGCAACCCTAGCTCGACTTCCTGGTGGCCGGGATATCCGCGCTTTTTGCCCTCCTCGCGGCCAAAGACCGAATCGATGTGATGCATCGATTTAGTAGCCACTTCCAGAAGGCGTCCGCTTTTGGTGAGAGTCTCGTAGGCTACAGTCGCCTCGTATAGATGCCCAAGGCAGTAGAGCTCGTGGAGGTCGCGCAGGTTGGACCAGCGATTCTCGAGGCCACGGACCGTGTAGAAAGAGTTGATATAGCCGTCCGGATGCTGGGCATCGCGAATCATGTCGACAGTCTCCTCCACAACGCGTAACATATCCTCGTTCGGGTGGATGAGTAGAAAGTTACAGGCTGCCTCTGTAGTCTTGTAGATATCGCTGTCCCAAAAGGCGTGGGGCTGCGGTTGGTGGCCTTCTTCCCATGTAAGGCAATCCCAGTGACCCTCGGTCTTTTGCGCCTTGATGATAGAAGGCACCGTGGACTCGCGGACACATCGCTGAAACTTGGCCCAGAACGGTGATGTCACGCGAGCGCTCTGAAAGGACACGCTACTAAGTGGCATGCTGGGTGGCGGAACAAGAATCCTATGTTCGATGTCCTGTAACTCGGTACTTTTCCGAGATGAGATGTCAGCTTCGGAATGGGCGAGGTTGACTAAGATGTGAGAAGGCAGAGGGAAGCGTCAATGAGGAAGAAGCCAGAAGAAAACAAGGAGAAGAAGTCCTCACCTTCTTAATTATTGATCCTTCAACTCTGGAAGTCTTGTGGCCATTTGAAGTGACAAGCCAGACTTGGATGAGGTTGGCGGCAAGGGATCCGCGCCTCATTAAGGGGAGGGGGCCTAGTTTGGTACAGTGTCGAGCGAGGTTTGTTCAGACCCATTCTACGTACGCTAGAGATTTTCTGTGTTCGAGTAGTCATGCCAATATGCCCTTGCATGCTGTAGACACGATGGCGTTGAGAACAGTGCACCAGCCTAATGCAAAGTACAGAATCGCGGCTTTGAGAGAACCCCTCTCCCCCACAGTCTTCCGAATAAACAAACGGTAGTCTTAGTGCATGGTTGTCTGACCTAAGTCCCATTCCTATTGGCGTGATAATGACTACTCCCCCTCCCCCCCCCCTTGTCCTCTCTGTCACTCCCCCACCTCATTCCCGCGAACTGCTCCACTCCCGGTATCGACAAAACCACTTCCATCTATCTTGAGCTAAGCCCCAAAGAATGGCACTCGAGGAGCGGTGTCCCATTTTCCAAGGCGGCTCGACGATCTCAGCTCGTGTTCCAAAATCCCACTTTTCACTAAATGCCATTATGATGGAGACCACACGTCTTTGGTGATATATAGCAGCCTAGAAATGACACAAGATTTTCAATCATCTATAGTCTTCATTACCACACCGTCTACGAAGGCTTCAGAAGCTCAGAGGCACGTACGCCCATTTACTGCTTGGTGTCGCGAGATCAGATGGCGTATAAATACAGTTTTTTATTTAAAAAAATAAATGCGGCATATTTTTGCATCTGAATAAGATTGAATTAGGAATAACTCTCTGACAGGCACCGTGTTTACATGGTGTTTTGCTTGCGTGTAATTTACCTTTACCTCTGCCCTATCTAATCACATATGCGCGCATGACACGTCCATTCTCTTTCAGATATTGAGTGTCGATGACTTTCCACTGCTGTCTTCTTTTCCATCTATCGAGCTCTACAGCACATGGTACAACAAGTGTGGTTCAATGTTCTTTCTGGCGGTTTCTCAAGCATTCTCGATTGTGGTTGTGGTGACGATGTCGTGTTTCTCTTTCGATATGTGACGATCGATGTCGGCAAACTCTGTACGCAGGATTATTAATACACTTGCCAGTTGAAGCAGACCCTGGGTGAGTAGATAAGGAGGTGGTATGGCTTCCAAGCATAGGAGCAGACTTACGGTCGACATTGGTATATTTCCACTTGCGAGCGGGCACTTTGTTGTCAAAGAGTAGATCGATCTCACCAAAGGGGCGGTCCTTGGTTTCGGGCAAACGGAACCAGCACCATATGTTGCAAAGGAGATTAGTGCCGGCGTAGAAGAGAGCAGCTTTGGCACCCCAGTTCCAATCTGTCATTCACGTTAGCGTTTCCGGACTTCCAATATGTGTAGGGTCCTGAGAAAGCCATGAACGGAGATCTACGGAGACATGAATAGAAGAAAATATGAGCAGAGAGAAAATGAGAAAGAACTAAACATTGCCTACCATCAGGGGAAAGCATTCGTGGGGTGATGATGTTATTGACGATACCCGTGCAGACATATGCGAAGCGACCAATGGTGATGGTTTTGTAACGTAGCTTGCCAGAAGGCGTCTCGGCCACAATTGGGTAGGCGACAGGGCCAATGGTGATGACGTTCACCAGCTGGCATACAATCATGACAATGCCTATGGCGAGACGGGCCGCGGAAGAGTGGGCAAAGCCCAAGCCACCGATAACGATGAGTGAGAAGAACATGTACGTCAAGCCGCTCATGTAGATGGTCGCGCGACCAAAATGGGGGAAGAGCAGCCAGCAGATGAAGCCACCGATGATGAAGCAGGCGTTGAGCGAGATGTTGAGATCAAATGACTGCTCGACGCTGAAGCCGGCAGATTGAAGAAACAGGATAGCAAAGCCCTGGATCGCGTTGCCACACAAGATTTGCGCACACCAAACGACGATGTTCTAGCGACACGATATCAGCGAACCCTGCCAGTTGAGTCGCCCATAGCATACTGCAAGCACGCATATCACACCGCAGTAATGGTTGGTGAAGTGGAAAAATACTCACGATCTCAGTGCGGCGTAGATTAGTGCCCTTGAAGCAGTCGATGAAATTTGCGTTTTCCGTTTCCGCGCGCTCTAGCTCGGTTGTGTAGCGGATGTAAGCCAGGGTAGTCTCGACCTCGTGGTCGTTGTTTCCGTCGGCATTGCGCAGACGGTGTAAGCTCTTGCGAGCTTCCTCAATGTTTCCTCGGCGAACCGCATTCCAGGGCGACTCAGGCGCAGAATAGGCGGCGATGAAGAGAGGTAACGGCCAGATCCACTGGAGTGAGATGGGCAGCCGCCAGCCCCAGTCACCAGGAACGGTAAGGACGACGCGAAGAATTCCGGCCGAGATAGTGAGACCGAAACCCCAGCACATGCAGACCCATGCAGTGACGTATGGCCGTAGGACGGTCGGTACAAGCTCGGAGGCGTACGATGTGCTGAGCGTCTGTATACGATGTCAGCCATTTCAGGAGACTATTTTATTCGGCAAGAAAAACGAAGGTCAGGTCACATACCTGGAAGACACCCCAGGGGATGCCGCAAGCAAATTGACCAATGGCCAGCATCGTTAGACTGGTGGAGAAAAAAGGGATGAAGATAGCAAGTGCCATGATGACCATGAAAAACATGAGTGTTTTGCGCGATCCGAATCTGTCTTGTGCCCAAGCGTTGATGACGAGACCGACTAGCTGGGAGACCGCGGATGAATTGGACAGCCCTGTCTGCCACTGAGTCGGGATAAGATTTTTGCCTTCTTTTTCACTGTAGGTGCCGAATCGAGCCTGGAATTGCGCCTGTCCATAGAATGAGCTCATCTAGGGAAGAGCGTGTACGTCAGTCAAGCCCACGACAACATGAGTAGAGAATAGGAATGGTGGGGGGAGAAGTTGTTCTTATGGAATAAGTACCATGTTGCCGTCAAAACCCTCCATAATCAAGGCCACAGACAGAAGCATGGCCCAGAACATGGCAGCCTTGTATTTCTTGAGAGCCTCCCGAACTTTTAGCTGCGCGTCGGCCTCGTTGCTGGCCTTGGCGTCCTCAACCATTTTCTTAAACTCAGGGCTGACAATGTCGGTCTTGTCAAGATGCCCTTGAGCCACCGTGACATTGGATGCTGCCATGACGGCTGATACTGGCCTGTGAGAGGCTAGAAGTAGAGGCGAGTTGAGTTTGATTGCAATATCAAGCCTTTTCGAGACGATGACTCTTCAAAGGGGTCCAAGGGTCCAGTCCGAGTAAGGGCCTGGGCGACGAGGTTCTCAGCGAGCCTTATACTCCTGCTTCATTCGCACGCGACTTAACCAAGTGCCAGTCAGGCGTTACGTAGCCGTTAGATTACTGAAGAGAGAGCCACGTGGAATGTGAAAGTACATTTCAACCATGTACGTATGGCTTGTATGTGTGCTCTAGGATTAACATGCTATCTAGCCCTCCAGCCCCACATTTTCCGGCTGGCGAGTGAGAGTGATAGCTTCTTCATGTTAGGCTGATTCGCGTCCTTCAACCATTGACGGCTTGAATCATACTTCCCGTGTGATGAAGAACACGACGAGGCGCCTAATCAAGCCAGATGGTGGAGCTTTTTTTTTTTCTTTTTTTTTTTTGTGCATGGTGAGCTCAAAGGTGAATATCCGGGCCAGCGCTGGGCTCATCAGGAGAGAGACAGTTCATGGGAACATCACGCCCGCATCGCGGGGAAAGACACAAGTGTGTACCCAGATCGGGGTACCTTCAATGCCAGGGATTCGGCGCAATGGCGTTAGACTCCACCTCCACAAATCGTTCCTAGCTCTATCCTCGTCACTTACAAGGAATTTCTGGGGAATGAAGACGCACTAGCTTCCAATACGAGGGGACCCCGCCACTGAGGCTTGTTGGAGCAGATAATCGGACGACTAACTGGCCATGTACCTAGAGCCAACAGGGCTAGTTTTAAATGCCTAATGCTCCCGCAGCAAGGAGCTGAAAGGAGAAAGTTCCAGCCCCAAACATCTCTTCAATAATGTTATATGATTGGCGCGGTAGGCTGCATAGAGACATCGACAAATCGGCTTCGCGGGGGTAGCGGACGGGGATCTCCACATATCCACTCTGCAAAAGACTAGACGGAAAGTTGTGGGGAATCGCAGGATGATGGGCCGTGGTTGAAATGTTTGCGGTCTTGTAGCTCGATTCGAATCATTGCTAGACCGTTGCAAAATGACTGGTATGGTTCTGTGAGCTGACATTGTGATCGATGCATAGAACTCGAGAAGTGCGATCTCATGTGTTTTGGGCCGGACGAATTCGGCAAAGCATACCTAGGCACACAGTACTTACATGCGTGCTCAAGACACTCTAAGCTGCCGTATCTCATCACGTGGTTCTGGCTTTGACATTCAAGGTTCTATCAACAACTCAACCGGCCTTGAGGAAGATTTTCCAGGCTAGGGTCTTCAAGTAATTGTGAACATCATCAAGACTGATATCAGCTGAAAATTATTTGATCACCTGAAGTACATGCATTTTCATTTACTCGAAGCCGCTTCGAGGAAGTCAGCTTACCACCCCTTGTTTCTTCATTTTACACAGCGCCTTGTACTTGATTGAGAGAAAATTTTGATTGGTTATTGTTTTCTAAATAACATTTGTAAAACCTGATGTTGCTTGTGTTAGGTAGAGAGAATTAAAGATTGCTTTATTTTTGAGGATTTGTTAGATTAGAAGTCTAATTCGACTACGGTATACGGCTAACTACGTAGGGGCTAATTAGGGGCCCTATTTACGATTATTATAGCTAGCCTAACCTACGGTTAAAACCTCTTTTTTATACTTATATAAAAATTTATATAGTTTAATTAATCTTTTTATTAACTTATAGTTCGAACTAACTACCCTATAATAAAAATATTAATATTAATTAATAATTAAATTTTATTATTATAGATTAATAAAGTATTTTATTATATAAAAGAGACGATTTTTTAATACTATATAGGATAGGAAATTCGTACTAATTAACTTTATAAAAATAGATAAAAAAGGAGGCGATTTTTAAATATTATATAAAATTAAGTAATTATAGCCCCTTATTATTTATAAAAAATTAATATTTATTATATTAAATTAAGTTAATTAATAAAACTATTTAAATAATTAGTTTTTTATTATTATTTTAAATAGCTTTTTTATTAAATAAACTTTTTTATAGCCGGCCCGTAATTAAAAATTAACTAGTTAAATTAATAAAGAAAAATACTTATATAACAACTATTTATTTAATTAATTAACGTAATAAACGAGCTTAATAATATAGTATAAAAAAGTACTACGTAATTAAAAAAAAAGAACTTTAAATATAAATATTTTTATTTAATAATAAAAGTAATTTTATAGGAATTATAAAATTAAGAAATTTATAATATATAAAAAAGTCTATTATTATAAAAATTTTATAAATATAATTATAAACTCGTAATTTAGATAACTTTTTTATAACTTTCTTAACTACCCCCTAGGTATTATTTAAAAATATAATATAAAAAATAGTTTTATAAAAAAAGAGGGGATTTAGAAATCTTAATAATATTAAACTAAGAGTATTCTAAATTTTAAAAATTAACTTAAGAAAAAAGTAGTTACCTTAAAGTAGTCCTACGACTTCTTATTATAGTTATTATTAATTTAAAAAAAGGCTAAGAAAATAAAAATTTAAAAAGGAAAAAAAAGAATTTTTTAAAAAGTTATTAAAGAGCTCTCTTTTTATATTAACTTTTAATACGAAATTATTAATTTTAAAAGATTAACTAAGTAATAAAAAAATTATTAATAAATAATAATTATTTAATAATAATTAAGTTACGAAAAAAACTATTTAAGAAATATAAAATAGGGTACTGAGAAGTAGCTAAAGAAAAGATTTTTAAAATAATTAGCCCTATTTAATATAAGTAATAAGTAGTATTTTTAATAAGTCCTTTAGACTTATAATTTTATAAAAAAAAGGGCTTAACTTTACTAATTATACTTAATTACTTATTTAGTTTTTAATAACCTATTTAGTTCTTTTATAAGCCGTTTAGTATTTATTTTTAACTATTTTTTTAGAATATTATTTTAAAAAAAGTAAGTTAAAGAAAGAAATAATTTAGAAATTACGAAAAATATAAGGCTTAAAAAGTTAGAAATATATAAAATAGTAAGAATTGGTAACTAAGATCCTAAGACTAATTATTTTATTTTTTTATAATAATATAAACGTTTTTATTACTATTAAAAAAAGAACTATTAAAACCTATTTTTTTATATTAAATAAAAAAGAGGATCTTAATAAGTATAATAATTAATAATTTAAAAAAGTAATAGTAATTATTAAAAATAATAAAAACGAGAGTAGTAGTAAAATAGTAAAAAGAAGTAGGAATTACTTAGACTTTAATAAAGTTATTAAGTAATAAAAATACGAATTTATTATAACTAATATATAAATTAAATATATCCTTATTAAAATTAAATACGTTAGTAATTATTAATATAAGTATAAGCTAGAGTACGACCCTTGGTAAGTTAAAATAAAAAAAAAAAAACCCCGATTTTAAATAAGATTTTAATCCCTTATAAATAAATAAATATTAACTTAGATTATTAAGGGACGTAAATATATAAAATTATAAATTAGCTTAATAATAAGTAACTTAATACGGTATTAATCTATTTAACTAAGGTTTATAAAAAAAAGGGGTTATAAGGGTAACCCCTATTTTATAAAATTATAAATAACTTTAATTATTAATTAGATAAATAGTTTATAAGCGTAAGCTTAGGAATTATAAAAGTAATTAATAAATTCTTTTATAAACGAGGGGTATTATTAATATAATTATAATTATAAGAATTATATAAAATCTTAGTAGTAATAATTATAAAAAAGGAGTTTATATTATAAAACTAAGTATAAGTTAATAAAGCGTATAATTACTTTAATAAATTTAAAAAAATAGTAAATAACTTAGATTTCCTTTTTATAATTACTAATAATAATTTATTATTATAGAAGGATATTTAAAAATAAAATATAATACTAAACGTATAATAATTAATAATTCTATTTATTTTAATCTATAGTTTATTATTACTATTAATACGAAATTCAGTACTAATTAGTTAATAAAAAAGGAAATAAACGACCTAAAGTTATTAATAATATATAGTAATATAGGGATTATATATAAATACTAAAAATATAATAATAAATATAAAGTAATTTATAAATTTTAAAAAGATCTTTTTAAAAAATAAATTATATTTTAAAAAGAAGTACGAGGTTTTATAAAAAACCCTAACAATATTTTATAATTATTATAAAAAAGTTAAGATTAGGGAATACTAATACTATTTAGTAATTAATATTATACTTATAAGTAAAGTTTCTAATTATTATTACGAAATAGTACGTAATTTTAATTAGAACGACTTTTTTAGTATTATTAACGTAATCTAAAGCTATTTTAAGACTTATAATAAGAATTTAGAGCTCTTATTTAAACTATAAATAATTTTTTTTATATTTATAACTAGGATAATAAAAAATAAATTATAAATAAAATTTTTTAAAGAGCTTATTAATCGAATTAATAAGCTAATAAAAACCTAGCTAAATAAGGGGATTAATAAGTAAAAAATTAAATATTTTTATACTATAGTTTAATACGTATTAAAAATAAAAATAACTTTATATTAGGTACTTAAAAATTATAAAACGCTCTACTCGAGGCTAAGATCTAATTTTAATATTAAAATAAGAATATTATACTAAACCTATTTCTAAGTATATAATGGCCCTTATTAATAATATTAAGTTAACTAGACGTATAATAAAAAAAGAAAAGAGATTAAGTATAGTAATTATTAATAAAAAGGCCTAGATTTATTAAATAAGCAGAGATTTAATTTATATAGTGGTTTTTTTCCGGCTTTATAAGCGTAAAAAATTAACTTTAATAAGATTACGCTTTTAAAAGAAATTATATAATACGGTATACTTTTTAATTATATAATATGCGTAATATACCCTAAGTACGCGCTTAATATAATATAATAATTTTAATATAAAAATCGCTATATAATTCGGAATAGGTAAGCT